AGTGGGTTAAAGCATACTAGTTATGCCAGCTACTGGAAGGTAGTTGTGCTTTCTGGGTTCGAGTCCCACTGGTGGGTGTTGTCCAAAGATTGTTTATCTTCACTTGTGGTTTATGCAAGTATAGGCTTATAAGCTGGACACGAGTTCTCTCACATTGACAGTGGCTTGACGAAAATTGCAGACTGACCCCTCACTCATCTGGTGCCTTCGGGAGGTAGAGATGTTTGAGATATATATATCTCGAACTATCTACTTCTTTTGTAAGGTCTGATGGCGTAGTGGGTTAAAGCATACTAGTTATGCCAGCTACTGGAAGGTAGTTGTGCTTTCTGGGTTCGAGTCCCACTGGTGGGTGTTGTCCAAAGATTGTTTATCTTCACTTGTGGTTTATGCAAGTATAGGCTTATAAGCTGGACACGAGTTCTCTCACATTGACAGTGGCTTGACGAAAATTGCAGACTGACCCCTCACTCATCTGGTGCCTTCGGGAGGTAGAGATGTTTGAGATATATATATCTCGAACTATCTACTTCTTTTGTAAGGTCTGATGGCGTAGTGGGTTAAAGCATACTAGTTATGCCAGCTACTGGAAGGTAGTTGTGCTTTCTGGGTTCGAGTCCCACTGGTGGGTGTTGTCCAAAGATTGTTTATCTTCACTTGTGGTTTATGCAAGTATAGGCTTATAAGCTGGACACGAGTTCTCTCACATTGACAGTGGCTTGACGAAAATTGCAGACTGACCCCTCACTCATCTGGTGCCTTCGGGAGGTAGAGATGTTTGAGATATATATATCTCGAACTATCTACTTCTTTTGTAAGGTCTGATGGCGTAGTGGGTTAAAGCATACTAGTTATGCCAGCTACTGGAAGGTAGTTGTGCTTTCTGGGTTCGAGTCCCACTGGTGGGTGTTGTCCAAAGATTGTTTATCTTCACTTGTGGTTTATGCAAGTATAGGCTTATAAGCTGGACACGAGTTCTCTCACATTGACAGTGGCTTGACGAAAATTGCAGACTGACCCCTCACTCATCTGGTGCCTTCGGGAGGTAGAGATGTTTGAGATATATATATCTCGAACTATCTACTTCTTTTGTAAGGTCTGATGGCGTAGTGGGTTAAAGCATACTAGTTATGCCAGCTACTGGAAGGTAGTTGTGCTTTCTGGGTTCGAGTCCCACTGGTGGGTGTTGTCCAAAGATTGTTTATCTTCACTTGTGGTTTATGCAAGTATAGGCTTATAAGCTGGACACGAGTTCTCTCACATTGACAGTGGCTTGACGAAAATTGCAGACTGACCCCTCACTCATCTGGTGCCTTCGGGAGGTAGAGATGTTTGAGATATATATATCTCGAACTATCTACTTCTTTTGTAAGGTCTGATGGCGTAGTGGGTTAAAGCATACTAGTTATGCCAGCTACTGGAAGGTAGTTGTGCTTTCTGGGTTCGAGTCCCACTGGTGGGTGTTGTCCAAAGATTGTTTATCTTCACTTGTGGTTTATGCAAGTATAGGCTTATAAGCTGGACACGAGTTCTCTCACATTGACAGTGGCTTGACGAAAATTGCAGACTGACCCCTCACTCATCTGGTGCCTTCGGGAGGTAGAGATGTTTGAGATATATATATCTCGAACTATCTACTTCTTTTGTAAGGTCTGATGGCGTAGTGGGTTAAAGCATACTAGTTATGCCAGCTACTGGAAGGTAGTTGTGCTTTCTGGGTTCGAGTCCCACTGGTGGGTGTTGTCCAAAGATTGTTTATCTTCACTTGTGGTTTATGCAAGTATAGGCTTATAAGCTGGACACGAGTTCTCTCACATTGACAGTGGCTTGACGAAAATTGCAGACTGACCCCTCACTCATCTGGTGCCTTCGGGAGGTAGAGATGTTTGAGATATATATATCTCGAACTATCTACTTCTTTTGTAAGGTCTGATGGCGTAGTGGGTTAAAGCATACTAGTTATGCCAGCTACTGGAAGGTAGTTGTGCTTTCTGGGTTCGAGTCCCACTGGTGGGTGTTGTCCAAAGATTGTTTATCTTCACTTGTGGTTTATGCAAGTATAGGCTTATAAGCTGGACACGAGTTCTCTCACATTGACAGTGGCTTGACGAAAATTGCAGACTGACCCCTCACTCATCTGGTGCCTTCGGGAGGTAGAGATGTTTGAGATATATATATCTCGAACTATCTACTTCTTTTGTAAGGTCTGATGGCGTAGTGGGTTAAAGCATACTAGTTATGCCAGCTACTGGAAGGTAGTTGTGCTTTCTGGGTTCGAGTCCCACTGGTGGGTGTTGTCCAAAGATTGTTTATCTTCACTTGTGGTTTATGCAAGTATAGGCTTATAAGCTGGACACGAGTTCTCTCACATTGACAGTGGCTTGACGAAAATTGCAGACTGACCCCTCACTCATCTGGTGCCTTCGGGAGGTAGAGATGTTTGAGATATATATATCTCGAACTATCTACTTCTTTTGTAAGGTCTGATGGCGTAGTGGGTTAAAGCATACTAGTTATGCCAGCTACTGGAAGGTAGTTGTGCTTTCTGGGTTCGAGTCCCACTGGTGGGTGTTGTCCAAAGATTGTTTATCTTCACTTGTGGTTTATGCAAGTATAGGCTTATAAGCTGGACACGAGTTCTCTCACATTGACAGTGGCTTGACGAAAATTGCAGACTGACCCCTCACTCATCTGGTGCCTTCGGGAGGTAGAGATGTTTGAGATATATATATCTCGAACTATCTACTTCTTTTGTAAGGTCTGATGGCGTAGTGGGTTAAAGCATACTAGTTATGCCAGCTACTGGAAGGTAGTTGTGCTTTCTGGGTTCGAGTCCCACTGGTGGGTGTTGTCCAAAGATTGTTTATCTTCACTTGTGGTTTATGCAAGTATAGGCTTATAAGCTGGACACGAGTTCTCTCACATTGACAGTGGCTTGACGAAAATTGCAGACTGACCCCTCACTCATCTGGTGCCTTCGGGAGGTAGAGATGTTTGAGATATATATATCTCGAACTATCTACTTCTTTTGTAAGGTCTGATGGCGTAGTGGGTTAAAGCATACTAGTTATGCCAGCTACTGGAAGGTAGTTGTGCTTTCTGGGTTCGAGTCCCACTGGTGGGTGTTGTCCAAAGATTGTTTATCTTCACTTGTGGTTTATGCAAGTATAGGCTTATAAGCTGGACACGAGTTCTCTCACATTGACAGTGGCTTGACGAAAATTGCAGACTGACCCCTCACTCATCTGGTGCCTTCGGGAGGTAGAGATGTTTGAGATATATATATCTCGAACTATCTACTTCTTTTGTAAGGTCTGATGGCGTAGTGGGTTAAAGCATACTAGTTATGCCAGCTACTGGAAGGTAGTTGTGCTTTCTGGGTTCGAGTCCCACTGGTGGGTGTTGTCCAAAGATTGATTTCCTATTAGCAACCCCAATGTCAGCAACCGGCACCCGTCTCACACCGCAGGCCCTCCGAATTGCCGTGGCTCTCCGCCTAGCTGCCCCAATCCACACCGAATACAGGCGTATTTGCGGCGAGGCAGAGGCCGACAGATACGGACGGCATGGCCTTCTTTGCCAAAGGACGGGAGGATGGCATGCAAGACACGGCGAGGTTAATGACATTATTAAGAGGAGCCTTACCACAGCCGGTTGTCCAGCAGAGAGAGAGCCCCGTTACCTAATGTCCCGCAACTCTGATGAGCCTGTCGGTCGCCCAGACGGAATTACGGTGAACCCCTGGAAGAATGGTAGACAGTTGGTGTGGGACTACACTTGCGTTTCAACTTTGGCCAGTACCTATGTTGACTTCAGTGCTACACAAGCAGGAGGAGCTGCCAATCACCGGGAAGCGGCCAAGTCACGTAAATACAGAGACCTTGAGCACCACTACAATTTTGTCCCCATTGCCTCAGAGACACTTGGTGCCTGGGGTAAAAGTGCTGCTAGCTTTTTAAAGGAGTTGGGGTCTAAGCTAATCGAAACAACTAGAGACCCTAGAGCTGCCAGTTTTCTTTTTCAGCGCCTTAGTGTGGCAATCCAGAGAGGAAATGCTCACTGCATCCATGGTTCCTGCCCGCCATCTGAGGAGCTGGAGGAGCTATTCAACTTGTGACAAGCAGCCTTGTACCCTGTATGTAATCAATATTGTAACTTTTTTTTGTGTAATGACATTTTCAAATAAAGTTAGATAAATATACACACTTAACAAAAGAATAGGGGTGGTAGGAGAAGAAAATATCAAAGTGTTCAGTGAGGATCCACAAGGTCTTCTCTGAGTACTCTTTATTTTCTTCTCCGAGGCTATGGGTCCCTACATTTGCACCAGAGGTGGTACCCCTTCTAGGTTAAAAAAAAAAAAAAAAAAAAAAAATATATATATATATATATATATATATATATATATATATATATATATATATATATATATATATATATATATATATATATATATATATATATATATATATATATATATATATATATATATATATATATATATATATATATATATATATATATATATATATATATATATATATATATATATATATATATATATATATATATATATATATATATATATATATATATATATATATATATATATATATATATATTATATAATATATACATTATATATACATATTATATATAGGGCACCGTGGTCTTTGATGGCCTAACATCAGACGCCTTTGACATCCGAAGTGGAGTAAAGCAGGGCTGCGTGCTGGCTCCAACTCTATTCGGGATTTTCTCTTTCAGTATGCCTATTTGACCTCTGCTTTTCCCCTTTCTCTTACTAAAAATATCCCCCTTATATGTATGGAAATTGCTATTTGTATATCATCATTTGGGTCACTGGGGCTTACCCAGAAATTGGGGTTTCATTATATCCATGCTTTTTTTTTTATGACAATCTCATATAATTTTTTCAATATACAGTAACATTGTTTTTGCCTGTGTATATACTGCATTGTTTGTTCATTTTATTTCAGATATGCTATTCCTTGCAAGATTACCACAGAAATGCCTGTTGGGATATTCTTTACCATGCCGTATTCATGGAGAGCTTTGGACACTGAGCTCTTTCAGAAGAATTGAACAGAGTATTAAAGTGAACAGTGGAAAAATGAAACCATGTTACTTCAATTCACTTTTATTCAATAGAAAACATTGTAATATTGAAGTGCTTGATGACAGTGAGTTAGAATTGTCTCACCACCCAGGAACACTATCCTTAAAATTAGATAAGAATAAAAGTGACTGGAATGTAAATGCCAAATATAATAATGACAATGGCACCAAAGACCTTAGAAAAGCATTCAAGATAGAACTGAGAAAAAAGAAAGCCGTTCGTCGACAGTATGTTTTAGATCACAATGCAGCACAAACACTTGTGACACATTTAAATAAAGATTTAGAGGAAACAGATATCATTGTGGAGTCCTCTCCTGGTCCTGGTGTTCTGACAAATGCCCTTTTGACACGAACAAATAATAACATAATTGCCTATGAACCACATGATGCCTTTAGAACCAATCTTGAGATTTCACTACTTCCTCAGTATTCTTCACGTTTACAAATCCATAGTTTGGATCTTGAAAAGTTTTATTCATATTATATTAGTGACAGAAAAGCCCCAGAGAAAAATGTATTACACGAACTCATGTATCCTATAACTACAAAAGGAAATGGGGAAATATCTCCTGTAAAAATTGTAGGGTCCATTGTATATTTGAAATTCTTCATTCGATTGGTATTAAGTTTTGCTTTTCAGTGCTGTTTTTATGAAAAAATTTGGCCAGTTTTATATTTATATATACCTCATACAATTTTTAAAAGACTTACATCAGATGTGAAGAACTTTAAAGGCAGCAGCATTAGCATTTTGTTTAGATTCTATTTCAATCTGGAGTATCTGGATGTGGCATACAAGAATGGGTTTTACCTTCCTTTCACTCAAGATTCAAGAGACAGATCGAAGGAAGCCAATTGCTTGTGTCTGGTCAAGATATCGCCCAACAAAAATCTGTTCAAGAAGGTAAGTGCAGTACAATAATTGTTGCTGAGCATGCTGCCACTTTATGTGGCTTTCCTGAGTGCATGGCATCAGGGGTGTATCTACAGAAAATACCGTGTATGGAAAGCACTGAAGTTGCATGTCCAAACATCTGACACCCATCTTTTCGATAACTTTATCATAATACTGTATCACCTCAAACATACAAGTCAAGCTTATTAATCATTTCATTAATAAATTGTGGCACTACATGAGCATTACAACTGCACCTTCCTTGATTTCACTGATGCATATTGGTCTATGATTTTGAAGTCGGTTCCTTCTGTTCCTTTCTACACTCAGCAGAGCAATTATTACAGGCAGACTTGACCCATGGAGGTTCTCAAATGTGAAGGTATTAGTTTCAACTGGGTGAATGATCTCTGACAGCTGGTGATGGAAACTTCTATGGCTAGCATTACCTGAATAGCAATGAGAAGACACGCATCTCCATGCTGAATATGAAGTATTCAGTATGGAGTATGCATACTCCATGCATGCTCCATGCATGCTCCTCTGTTCTTTATATTTTCATGTTGGCTCAACTTGATAGCAACATTCTGCAATCCTAAATTTCTATATATAGCTGCTGTCAGTCAATATCAGATCTGTACAATTCACCCAAATATTCTTTAGGATGTTACTGTTGGCTCTGTAACAAAGTCCCTCAACATCAAAAAGGAGCCCTAATGTAATTGGTGGCCTCGTTGTGCGCTAAATCTAATTTTCCTGGTTCCCTGTTCCAGGTTCCAGGGCTAATGTTTTTTGAGTCGTCCTAAGTGTTAATAAGGGTAGGAGGGTAGACAGCCAGCCGGCTGTCTACCCACCTTCCCATGACGTCTGTAAGTTTACCGGTCTCTCAGCTGTGTTTGCCAATACTGTATGTCTTGGGCTGATATTTGGGAGCGGGGGTTTTAATGGTCGAATAAGGTCCTGGTAGCTGGGTATCTTATGAATGGTCCTGGTACCTGTATGCATTGGGCTATGTGTTGTAACCCGTAGTTTACAGACACATACTTGTGTCTGTTGTAATACCTAATATTCTACTTTGTTATAATACCTGCAGTGAACCTTCCTCCCTGGTAAGTACCTTTTTGTTTCCTTCATAGGTAGGTTGCTTCAGGGAGCCATAGCTTCCTCCAGAAAACCAGTGTTGAATGTAATGAGATGCTAATTTCTGAGTGAGCTCCAGTGACACCCTAATACCCTTCCTCCTCTAGGAAGTCGAGGGTGGTTTTCCATCATAGAACTGAGGGCAGAGCAGCTGGCTGACCCAGTCTGCCTCCCTCCTCCCCCCAGGTGAGGGGGGGGAGGGGGAAATGGGGTGAATGAATTTGCTCGAGTTTCATGAATTTTCAATTATTTGTTTACACTGTTGAAGTTCTTTTGGCGATTTTGAGGTATCAATCTTTCCTCAAAACCGGCAGTGGTATGTTTTTCTTGCTGAAATTTACTGACAATTTTATTATAGTATCACTGCTCTTTCTCTGCCTCTTTAGAGGGAACCAAGTTTTTGGGCCAAGTCCCAGCCTACTGGGAAGCTTGTGCTTCCCAGTACACTGAAAAGAACTCTGATGGCACCTAGTAGTTTGACTCTATATCATTATTGTAGCTTCATGGAGCCACTGGGGTTCATCCAGAAATTGGTGTTTCATTACATTCATCACTGATTTCTTGAGAAAAACCATAGCTGTAATTATATGGGATGAGTATGACTGAAAGGAGTAAGTGAATGAAATGTGGAGTGATTTGTATCAAGTATAATAAACTTAGGTGGTATGGACATGTAAGTAGGACGAATGAGAAATATTTTATGAGAAGTGTGTACACTTCCGTCAGTACTGTACAGAGATCACATGGTAAAGGCAGATATTTAGCCTATGCAAGACTTTTCAGGTATATTATGAGGACTTATAAACTTGTAATTCAGGCTAGGAAAAGATACAGCATAATGTATGATCATAATCTTAAGAGCCATGGGTTTGCTATACACTGTTGATATATCACTGTAGACTTACACGAGTTGCAGCCTTATATTATGCTTTCACTCAGAACTTCTATTAATTTATGCTTTTTATGCCAGGTGCCAAAGAAAGAGTTGGAGAGATTTCACTACTTTATGAACACAATGTGTCGTATCAAGAAGAACGACACACTTCTTATGTGCTTGGAGAGGTGGATACCTGGTTGTGGACCACAGCTTATTAAGGTAAATTTTCTTAATGTTAGTTGCAAATTATTCAGTTTTCTGGAAAGGCTCCTTTGTGGCTCTGTTGCTCCAACCAACTCAAATCAAACCAAGCCCTTGTGAATCATCGTAAGCCTACTGGAGACCAGAGGCCAAACCTTGACCCTCTATAAAACATGGGGAACTGAGGACTCTAGGTCACTCAGACCAAGAATTAAATTGACCAGATAGATAGTGAAACAAAACAGATAGTAGTAATTTAAAACAACACCCAAAATGAGATGCTGAAATGATCGACTCTGTCATTAGGTGGTTCACTCCCATAATGACAGCTGGCCACCAAAAGATGATTGCACATCAAGTTACTGGATTCACCCAGCAAACTTGTCAGTCATTAAGTCTGGTGGGACTTGTCAACAGTCGCTCTAAGTTCTCGTTCTGTTGGCACTTTTCAAGTCCCAATTTTTCAGATAAGTGAAGGCAATCCTTTGGACTCTGTTCTGTGGGTGCCATTTACTTTTGTATTCAGTCTGTATTTTAGTATTTGATTTAGGTTTGTGTATTACTGTGCCTCACTTCTTGTGTGGAGTCTGATTAACTTCACGTCAAGTTGCATGTGTTTGGAGTTGACTTCTCTAGGTGCTTGCTGGTGTTGCCCTTTCCCTGACAGGGTTTTGTTAAATGGTAGATTTGGGTAGCTGTCCTTGAGAGGCTGTTGTCTTGTGGAGGAAGGCGTGCCCTGAGCAGTGTAAGGATCTTTGACCCATCTGTGGGACTCTGTGGTTATAGACAGTTGGGGGTTATAATGTTTTAGCTTGGTTAGATTTTAGTTATGTTTAAAAAGGCAATAGAAATTTGTTGTTAAAATTTTCTCAAGTTGGGACAATGGTTAGGATTAGAAAAATTGTGTTCAATTTGAAAAATAAACACAATTGTTGTCTTAATATGAGACATAGGGAGATTGTAACACATTTTGAACAGAATTTGTTAAACAGTGAACAGCTCCTGAACAGGGAGTTGACAGAACAACAATTTTATACACCTTAGTTAAAAAAGGCGTAAAAGGAAATATGCTAGGATGTATTCAAGATTACCTATCTTGAGGTTATCTTGAGATGATTTCTGGGTTTAGTGTCCTCGCGGCCCGGTCCTTGACCAGGCCTCCACCCCCAGGAAGTAGCCCGTAGCAGCTGTCTAACTCCCAGGTACTTATTTACTGCTAGGTAATAGGGGCATCAGGGGTGAAAGAAACATTTTGCCCATTTGTCTCTGCCTCCACTGGGGATCGAACCCGGAACCTCAGGACTACAAATCCGAAGCGCTGTCCACCCAGCTGTCAGGCGCCCCTAGGCGCCTGACACCTAAGTCACCATACCTAAGTCACAGGTATGCCAGAGTAAAGTTGCAAGGACAAGTATCGGACTACCACTTGCATGAGAATGGGACTCCACAAGGAGGAGTCCTCAGTCCTAGTCTTTTTAACATCTTTATGGAAAACCTCGTTAACGTGACATTTGCAGAAGGGGTCAAATTGCTAAGCTATGCTGATGATATAGCATTAGTCATTACAAGTCCTTCACTTCTAAATAAAGCACAAGTGGCATTAGATAAAGTAACATCTGAACGCAGCATTTTAGGGCTAAAAATATCTGCACAGAAGTCGAAGGCAATGAGACTAGGTGGCAACACTCCAGACAGGTACCTACGCATTCAAGACAGGGACCTTCAGTGGGTTGCACAATATCAATGTCTTGGAGTGTGGATAGATTCTAAAATGACATTCAACAAGCAAATTCAACATCTGAAGGAGAAAACAAAATCAGAGTTGAATATAATGAGAGCAATCACGGCCCCGTCTAGGAGTGGGACACACAGTGTTAAGAATGTTTTACATACACGCCATTTGTTCCCTAGTTGATTATGCAGTGCCTGCCCTACTCGCTCTTTCTCCTGGCCAGTGGGCAAACGTTGAGGTTATTTAAAATGATGCAATGCAGGTCATAACAGGAGCTCCCAGATGGACTAAAATACAAATGGAATTTAATGTTAATAAATGCCATGTTATGGAATGTGGAATAGGAGAACATAGACCCCACACAACCTATATATTATGTGAGAAATCTTTAAAGAATTCTGATAAAGAAAGAGATCTAGGGGTGGTTCTAGATAGAAAACTATCACCTGAGGACCACATAAAGAATATTGTGCGAGGAGCCTATGCCACGCTTTCTAACTTCAGAATTGCTTTTAAATACATGGATGGCGATATACTAAAGAAATTGTTCACGACTTTTGTTAGGCCAAAGCTAGAATATGCAGCAGTTGTGTGATGCCCATATCTTAAGAAGCACATCAACAAACTGGAAAAGGTGCAAAGACATGCTACTAAGTGGCTCCCAGAGCTGAAGGGCAAGAGCTACGAGGAGAGGTTAGAGGCATTAAATATGCCAAAACTAGAAGACAGAAGAAAAAGAGGTGATATGATCACTACATACAAAATAGTAACAGGAATTGATAAAATCGATAGGGAAGATTTCCTGAGACCTGGAACTTTAAGAACAAGAGGTCATAGATATAAACTAGCTAAACACAGATGCCGAAGAAATATAAGAAAATTCACTTTCGCAAACAGAGTGGTAGACGGTTGGAACAAGTTAGGGGAGAAGGTGGTGGAGGCCAAGACCGTCAGTAGTTTCAAAGCGTTATATGACAAAGAGTGCTGGGAAGACGGGACACCACGAGCGTAGCTCTCATCCTGTAACTACACTTAGGTAATTACCATGATATCAAAATGAAAGACCTAAGACGAGAATTGAGGTGACCAAAGTGAAAAGAATGTACACATTTTATTGCTCTTGTGCGATCCCAGGTAACTCGCTCTCACTTTCTCTGTTTGCTGCAAGTGGTAAGCCGGGCTTTTGGAGTTTATGTGCATTTACACCTCTAGATAATTCTATTGCGAGCACATTGATACCAAATTGATAAACTTATGACGAGAATTGAGGTGACAAAGTTGAAAAGAGTATACACTTCTCAGTACAGAGCACCACTTGGTTTCCGAACTTTAGTTATCCGAAACTTCCAGTTTCCCGATTGGGGTTGGGGAGTCATGCTCCCCAAAAAAGAAAGGGGTCTGTCACGCTGGCCTGTGGTGGTGGGTGGGAGATGGTCCAGTTTGCCCACTGTGACTACAGATTCACGGCCTATTATTCCTATTATTTTGAATTGTCATAAGGCTGGAATGTTCATTCTGTGCTTTTGTTTTACATATCTGCACAATCAAGAAACATCTGTGCACCATGTCAGCTCCAAATGCACGCATTGCGTCAGTGATGGCTGACTGGTGGGTGGATGGATGAGAGAGCTTAGGTGGGAGGCAGTATGAGAGAGGGGGGAAATCAGTGAAAGAGGGGGAGAATTAGTCAGAACCAACAAGCCCCCATTGGTATTCAAACTTTAGCAGTAGGTTTCAACTGAGTTTGGCCCTCTGATGCTGCACTTACTGGTGTGAGTTTAAAGGATGTCCATCTGTCTTAATGCATTCTGATGGCTATTCATTACTACCTCTGAACTACTGTACTGAATAATGAACTACTATTTATTATTCCTAGACACCAGGCAAACCCCACCTCCTCCCCTCAAAAAATAAACAAAAAATCCACAAATGCCCAACAAAAAAAATAAACAAAAATTCCACAAATGCCCAACAAAAAATTACGAAACAGGTTCTAGCTCTTGTCCCAGGAAAGCCAGACAGAATGTCTGCAACAGATGAGACCCTTTAGTATGAAGCATTCTCAGCAAGATAACTTCAGGGAGGCCACTGGGGCTCCTCCACAAAGAGACATTTTATTACATTCACCGCTGGGTTTTTCATTTTCTATGTCACCTATTCCGAACCTCATTATGTTATATGGAAATTATGAGACAACTGTCTTTCATTTACCTTACTTATCTTGAAAATATTACCTTTTACCTTTAAAATTATTTACATTCTGTAAATTTTTGTGGTATTTGCCAAAGATTGTCTTATTAAATATGACTTTTGTAATTTAAAAATCTGCAGTATTGATAATTTCATTGCTTTCATAAAATGTTCCTGAATTATTTTTCAGAATGGTTTGCATGTCTTCTGTCATCCGAGGGAGATGACTCAGGAACAACTGCTAAGGGCATATAGAATCTTCATCAGACTGCCCTTTTATGATGAGTCAGTATTTCACCATCAGTGTAGACAATTTGTAACAAAGTTTGGAGAGAAGGTTTATGAAGTATCTAGACTAAAAACAGAAGAAAAAACTATTCATATTGAAGATGAAGAGTCATTGTAATTTTATAAATATTTGTAAATATAAATGCATTGTCAAATCCAACCTATTATGCTTTTTCCTATTACAGCAGATTTTTTTGAATGAAAAGCAATTGTTCCTCCTGCAATAATCATATTGCATCAAGTTGCATGGAAAAATTTCCAAATGATTCAAGGTTTAACTAGTTCTTGTGGCCTTCAAAACTGGCACCTGGAGCCGATACATGCTGGCATGTAGTGGCAGCTGAAACCAACAAAAACGCCTCCCTCAAATCACCACATTTACATTTCTAAACAAAATTCAACATAAATTAAGTTACTTTATTTTGTACCTCATACTATAATGTGTTTTATAGGGTGTCCCCAAAAATGTATACACACTTTAACAGCTGATAACTCGATTGTTTTTTTTTTCAGATTGAACCCATTTGTATTAATAGCAGCCAGACTAAGCTTTAACCAAAGGAAACTAAATGAATGCATAATAAATGTGTGTGTATCAGTGGTGAGGGGGATGTATTAGGGGGTTAGGAAGTCAACTAACCTCTATTTTCTTTTTTTGGCCGGCGTGTTGAATGAGACGCCTCCAAGTCTGGCCTCCCCGCTGCTGCCTCACTACCCTGTGGATGGTGTGAGTGGTGTGGGGGATGGTGTGAGTGGTGTGGGGGATGATGTGAGTGGTGTGGGGGATGGTGTGAGTGGTGTGGGGGATGGTGTGAGTGGTGTGGGGGATGGTGTGAGTGGTGTGGGGGATGGTGTGAGTGGTGTGGGGGATGGTGTGAGTGGTGTGGGGGATGGTGTGAGTGGTGGGGGGAATGGTGGGGGGGGGAATGGTGTGAGTGGTGGGGGGATGGTGTGAGTGGTGGGGGGGATGGTGTGAGTGGTGTGGGGGATGGTGTGAGTGGTGTGGGGGATGGTGTGAGTGGTGTGGGGGATGGTGTGAGTGGTGGGGGGGATGGTGTGAGTGGTGGGGGGGATGGTGTGAGTGGTGTGGGGGATGGTGTGAGTGGTGTGGGGGATGGTGTGAGTAGTGTGGGGGATGGTGTGAGTGGTGGGGGGGATGATGCGAGTAGTTTTTTTTTTTTTTTTTTTTTTTTTTTTATAATAATATTTAGAAAATAATAAAAAAAAAAAATGCGAGTAGTGTGGGGGATGGTGTGAATGGTGGGAGGGATGGTGCCAGTGGTGTGAGGGATGGTGATTCCTCCATCTCAGATTATTATCGACACCAAAAGTGCATGAGAGATATTATAATTAAGCAGCGCACAACGAAGAAACAAACTGAAATTCAAAAGTTTTTGGTACGGTTTCACAGTAGGCCTACAGGACCAGCACTCAGCACTAGCAAGGACTCCCTTTGTGAGTCCGGTGCAATGTTTCCTAATGCAAATGTGTCCTGGCATATGTATTTATTTATTTATTTTTTTAAGAAGGTTGTTGGGGCCGGACGGATGGAACGAATTCCGCACTGGAACGAATCGGCTTTGCCCCATATAGTTTGTTCAAGTGAGGATACACTGTATCTATATCAGCCTGGATAGCACTGGGCAGTCTCCGGGTCTCACCCAGAAAATTATGTTTCATTACATTTAACGCTGTTTTTTTCTTATACAATATTTACTATTCAGATGGTTTTATTTATAATGTCTATACTGTCATCATTGATTAAGGGGCAGTGAATCAAAGCACAGATGTTGGCACATTCACTAACCTGAGGCAAATTTTTTGTATACAGATTGCTTAAAATCTGTGACAAATTGCATCCTAATATGTGGATGGCAAACCATACCAGTGGCCTCAGGCCGGGCTCGGGGAGTAGAAAAACTTCCAAAACCCTCTCCAGGTATGCTTCCATCATTGATGGAAGTGTGCATACATATTTGCTAATTTTCAAAACACTTGAAGCACTATTATACAGTGTGCAATACAACATAGGCATCAATTGGAAAAGTAAAAATTTAGAAAATAATATTTCTAGTTTACTCATGAACTATACCCATGTACAAAAGTTTTAATGCTATAAATATGTATTTTAACAGTTGATACTATTGTTTGTTACATAACATGATAGCTGGTTAACAATATAAAATCTCGCCATTTCTATTAAAAAAAAAGTAAAAACTAGATAAATTTGATAATATTTTGGTATATGCTAAATTTAAATGTCAGTCATGAGAACAGACTTCATTATCAGCTGTAGCATATAACTAGAACTGCATCTGCCCATCTCCTTGTTTAGATGCACTAGTCTAAATCTTAGAAAGTCTTCATTGCATAACAAGTCCGGGTAAATGACCATATACCTGTACTATGCAATAATGATGCAAATACTTTCAACATATACCTACAGTCTGACAAGGAGACAAAATGTCTAACATTAATCTTTGTCTCTGCCTTTAAACTAAACATTTAAACTTAGAACAGTTTTAAAACTTTGAACCTGATATGGTTTTTGATATAAATATTATGAACTAAACCTGTAAGTACAATTCAGTAGTACCTTGTAAAGCGTCATTATACCTTAAGCATAAAGAGCTGCCTGTCTTCCTGACCAGGAGACTAGACAATGTCAATAAGACTAGAATCACAATTTCTTTTTAAATAAAAGTAGTAGTAGTGTCACATCCATATTCTATCATTAATTTATTGTTTTTAAAGCAGAGCCTCATTATCAACAGAAGTGACATGTACCATAAGACACAAAAAGTAAATTTTGAAATAATCTGATAATGGCCACGAAATGCTTTTGGCCAAATTTATTTATTTTTATATATATATATATATATATATATATATATATATATATATATATATATATATATATATATATATATATATATATATATATATATATAATATTGGTAGCAGTCTTTCTTTTAAACATATTTCGGTGAAATCGACAAAGTTTTAGATTTATGATTCTGGCATGAATCTTCTCGATAGTCCTTGTGTTTTTCTTCACCGAAGCAAGAATTCAAAATTGACTGTCCAAAGTTCATTTTTACTTTATATTTGGGTCTGATGTTTAGTGATGCGTTTCGTAAGGTCTCGCCTCACATTCTCAAAGAATCCTGGATCATTTTTTTTGAGAATGTGAGATGAGACCTTACGAAACACATCAATAGTCAAATCCAAATATAAAGTAAAAATGAACTTTGTAGAATTAATTTTTAATCTTCCTGCTACAGTGAAAAAACATAAGGAATATTCAGAAGATTTGTGCCAGAATCATAAATCTAAAACTTTGTTGTTTTCAATGAAATAAATAAATAAATAAATAAATAAATAAATAAATAATCTGATAATGGCCACGAAATGCTTTTGGCCAAATTTATTTATTTTATATATATATATATATATATATATATATATATATATATATATATATATATATATATATATATATATATATATATAATATTGGTAGCAGTCTTTCTTTTAAACATATTTCGGTGAAATCGACAAAGTTTTAGATTTATGATTCTGGCATGAATCTTCTCGATAGTCCTTGTGTTTTTCTTCACCGAAGCAAGAATTCAAAATTGACTGTCCAAAGTTCATTTTTACTTTATATTTGGGTCTGATGTTTAGTGATGCGTTTCGTAAGGTCTCGCCTCACATTCTCAAAGAATCCTGGATCATTTTTTTGAGAATGTGAGATGAGACCTTACGAAACACATCAATAGTCAAATCCAAATATAAAGTAAAAATGAACTTTGTAGAATTAATTTTTAATCTTCCTGCTACAGTGAAAAAACATAAGGAATATTCAGAAGATTTGTGCCAGAATCATAAATCTAAAACTTTGTTGTTTTCAATGAAATAAATAAATAAATAAATAAATAAATAAATAAATACAATATATATATATATATATATATATATATATATATATATATATATATATATATATATATATATATATATATATATATATATATATATATATATATATATATATATATATATATATATATATATATATATATATATATATATATATATATATATATATATATATATATATATATTATATATATATATATATATATATATAATAAACACACACTAGTGAATTACTGCTTTTCATAATTAAATTGAGCAATAAAATAAATATTAGATCTTTGGTCAAAAAGCACTATGCAATGAAAATTATATGCTTATCCACTTGCAAATGTGCGAGAATCAACCTCAGCATCACATGATCTGCTTAGTGAATTAATGAGTAAAATTACATAAATTATTTGTTAATACTGTACTGAAATAATATAAAATGTATAAATACAATTACAGTAAATATAATTACTCAGATTATAACAAAATTCTTTAGTCTTAGTACAGATCAATTTTAAGGATCTTTTGTCTGGAAGTTAAATTATCTATGCATGGTAAAGAGTACAGAAAGTGAAAATAATCCTGTTCCATAGAAGTTGTTTAACTATTGCACACGTTATGGCAATATACACATTAATGGCAGTAGGTACATTTTGGGTGACATTTTTGACCCCGAATGCCACACTTGCAACCTCCAGACACATCTCCTGGTCCCTGTGAATTATGAAGAAAATATATGTATTTAGTTTAGACACAACAAGGAAATATTGCTATTACTTATTATTTTATATTGCTATTTTTATTGCTATTAAATTATAAAATTATTGCTATTACAAATAATTAAGAACAGGAAGCTCTTCTGAAAAGTAAGGTAATGTAGAAGGGAACTGGTGAAAGAGTACATAGGAATGTTAAAGATAGATATTAGAGAATGTTAACTGGGGAACAGGAGTTAGAAATAGGTGGAAGAGAATACTTTATAAGTCATATCTACCCATTATAAAAAGGCATTACTATGAACATAATTGAGTTTATTAGGGTGAGAAGTGTGTAAGATTGTATACAGCCAATGTATCTATGGAGTGGGTGTTGAGAATTTGCCAAATTCTAGAATATAAATATGTGAAGCATATATTTATACTGTACTCCATGATACAATCAGGTTTATATATTTTCCCCTGTGTTGCAAAGTTTACTTCCCACTGTCCACCAATGCACCTATGTAATACTGTAGTTGTCACATATTCACCTTCTGTCTGTCCTTCCAATGCATTGATAAAATTTTGTTGCTTTTTCTGAGATGATAATAGCCCACTGCAATACCAAACATCGGCATTTCTCTATGTGCCTTTACAATGCCACAGATGGCAGTCTTATGTTCACGGAGGAACATAGTTAGCAAGGGGGCTGGTATAATAACTGTGTACAGGATATTCTCCTTGTTTTGCAGTGGTTCCAAATGTGTTTCACAACACTGAAAATTTTCCTCGCATTTTAGTCTATCGTTTATATGTACATTGCCATTGTTCTTGAAGTGTGGGCACCAGGGAAGTAACAGGAACCTATCATGAGACATGTACTTGCTAAACAATGGGGTTGAAACAACGCTGTCTTTGTTCCAATAATCCTGGATCATGTGTTTCACTGCATGAGTAATCATCATATACAGCACTAAAAACACATGTACACCAGTAGGCTGACATTTAAGAGGTGGGACCAAAACGCCGAAGCTCATCCCCCACAAGCACAACTAGGTGAGTACATACATTTCATCAATAGTCTTGTCCTTCCAACATGTTATTCGTGAAGCAGGTACAATACTAGATGCAATGAGTTGCACTGCGTAATGGTTCATGTTGTGAAAAAGATGCTGCATGAATGGTTCACTGAAATACATTATGCCATAAAATATTCAAACTCGGTCATATCATCACCAGTATGGGAAAATGTGGGTGTAACAGCAACATTGGTATCATCAAATGTTGGTATATGTGGAACCAAATGGTCACAATCTCCCACACGAGTACACTTGTCCTGGCACTAGTATGAGCGCCAACACCATGGCTCTGTCTTCTTGTACTATAACTCCATAGGCCAGGAGATATGGCTCTTTTACATAGTATAGGGCTACCATGAGCATTTGATGTAGAGGGCACACTGTCATCTTTGTCCTCAGGCCTCATGACATACTGATGCTTGGCTGGGCATGTTGCTGAGGTAGCACATCCTGGCCTAATAACACCCCCACTATAGCCACTAACACTTGGTTCATCAATGCTACTTTTATCTGAACCTTCAATGCTACTTTTGTTTGAACCTATGTCACTCAAAACACAAAAGGCATCATCTATATTATCACATTGTATAGGAACATCAGAAGGCACAGGTGGTGATGGTAAATCCATCACCACCTGTGCTTCACCTAGGGCAGCGCGGCAGGCTGGAGAGAGCCATGTACAGTGACACCTTAGCTTAAGAATGTCCCTATTTGCGAACTTTTTGGGTTACGAACCCAATTTCTTTGGAAATTTTGAATCGGGTTATGAACGTTGCCTCGGGAAACGAGTTTGTTGATATGCGTATGGTCTGACCTAGCGCGTGGTGGCACGGCGATCACACCTCAGTTTACCAGTGGCTCCTGCCTAGTGACAATTGCGTCCGAGTTCTTTGTAAAGAATTTCAGTGATTTTCGAATTTTTGGGTATTTGAACATAAAAGTTATTATTATATATCTTGCCATGGGTCCCAAGAAAGTCAGGGGTATGGTTCAACCTAATAGTTGTGAGTAGAGGCAGTAGAGGATGTTCCTTCCTCATTAAGAAAATGTGTGAAGTCTGGGAAGAACTGCAAAGTTTTGTTGAAAAAACGAACCGCAGATAAAGCTAGAGCAGGTCGTTGCATTGACCTTTTAAATGACAATGTGATGTCTTACTACAGACAAGTGTTAAAATGTAGGGAAAAACAAGCGTTTTTAGACAGATTTTTAGTAAGACAAGCAAGCAGTGGGCCATAAGCAGGTCTTAATGGTATGCAGGCAAAATGTGCCAGAGTGCATACCCCAGAGAAGTCATCACTGTTTGATGTTATAATGGAAGGAAGCTCCCCTTCCAAACACTAACACCTCTCCTTCTTCCCCCTCCAACCCGTCTTCCATACGCCAACAAGAGTCATCAGTAAAGGTACATAATAACTTGTACATTCTGTACTTTAGTACTGAAGATTTGGGTGAATTAGGAATAAAATTTACTTTGTAGTTAATTTTTTGGGGAGTCTGAAACGGATTAATTCAAATGAACAAATCTACAAGGGCCGTGACGTGGATTCGAACCTGCATCCAACATCCAATTGGATTAATTCAATTTCCATTATTTCTTATGGGGAAATTCGCTTCAGCTTACGAAATTTTGGTTTATGAACCATCTCTGGGAACGGATTAAATTCATAAGCTGAGGTACCAATGTACTGTACATGCGCCTTGTATTGTCCACCACGATGTCGGTATCATACCTTGATGGGATTCTGGGAGTTCATCTACTACCCAAGTCTGACCCGGGGCCAGGCTCGACTTGTGAGAGCTTGGTTCAACAGATCGTTGCTTAGAGCAGCCCGCAGACCCAGGTATCCACTACAGCCCGGATGGTCCTGCACTTCTTGAAGAAAATTATCCAGTTTTCTCATAAAGACATCCAGTTTTGTTCCGGCAATATTTCTTATGCTTGCTGGGAGGATGTTGGACAATCATGGACCTCTGATGTTCATGAAATTTTCTCTGATTGTGCCTTTGGCACCTCTGTTCTTCATTGGCTCTATTCTGCATTTCCTTTCATATCGTTCACATCAGTATGTTGTTATTTTACTAGGTAAATTTAGGACCTTGCCCTCCAGTATTTTCCACGTACAGTATATCTTGTACTGTACATGGAGAGGTATATTTGATACGTCTCTCTTCTCCTTTCAGAAGGGATCATCTCAAAGCTCTCCAAATGTACTCAATAGTTTAGATGCTTTATCATATATATGTACTGTATGCCATATATATTCTCTGTATTCCTTCTATTTCAGCAATCTCTCCTGCTCTGAAGGGAGAAGCGAGTATCGAACAGTACTCAAGACGGGACAGTGCAAGTGATTTGAATAGTACAACAATTGTGATGGGATCCCTAGAGTCAAAGGTTCTCATAATCCATCCTATCATTTGTCTGGCTGATGCAATATTTACTAGGTTATGCCCCCTAAACTTTAGGTTGCCAGATACCATTATTCACAGATCCTTTATGTGTTGTTTTCCTATTTTGGGCAGATTTGATTGTTTTGTACCCTGTAGTTTGTTTAACCACTGTGATGTGCTGAGTTTATTGTGAAATTCCCCCTGTGCGCATGAAATAAAGTGTTACCAAAAAATTCCTTTTTCTTCGTAAAATGATAAATTCCCTTCCCTGAACATGTCTATGTAAAAATAAATACCAAATTCCACTTACTTTGGCTGTGGGGACGTGGACAAGATTCACTGTGACGTCATCAGGGGCTGGTCACCCGTGCGTAACATGCCCAGACAAAGGTAGCGCGGGTCATTCAAGCACCGGGTGTTGCCACAAATATATTTTCAATTATTTTTCTATATATTTCCAATGCGGTTTTATTTGTTTTTTTATCGTATATGATGCATATTTGTGTCCTTTACAATATGTATACATTAGAACATTCATAATGTTCCTTGGAACTGTGATACATGTGTCAATAATGTGTCCACAATGTTTATTGTCGCAATATTACTTGTTCAAAATCCACTAAAATTACAATATGTACAGTTTCACACACTATTTACACAGTAACACACTGTATTACACAATCTGTACTTTGGAAGTGAGTAATGTTCCTTGGAACTGTGATACATGTGTCAGTAATGTGTCCACAATGTTTATTGTCGCAATATTACTTGTTCAAAATCCACTAAAATTACAATATGTACAGTTTCACACACTATTTACACAGTAACACACTGTATTACACACTCTGTACTTCGGAAGTGAGTACAATCAATGAAGTAGTCTGTGGTACACAGAGCGACTTCGCTTTCGTTGCACCAGGTACTGATAGATTTTCGCTTCCTGTTTCTTCGCTCTGTGTGCTTGCAAATAACTCACTCACGTACACCCTTGGCTTTAATACCTGTAGGTAGTATGTAGCCAAGCTTGTAAAGCATAGGGTAGTCTTGAAAAGATTATAGGAAAAGATCAGTTTGTAAGGTAGTCGTGAAAAGATCGCTTTGTAAGGTCCTATGCAGGAAGAGATTCAGCCAGCCTCGAAGAGTGTCGTGTCAGTCAAGAAGAGATTCAGCTATTCTTGAAAATATCTATGGAAAACGCCACCATGGAAGCCGCTAACACTGTTCATCTATGCTACTTGTATCAGATGCATCATCACTGAACACAGAAAACGATTCATCTATGTATCATATATATAAATTGGAAACAGTATATGTGGCCCAGGGTTGCGCTCAGAGCTACAACTGGATACGCTCACTGTATCGTCCTCATAGGTGCTGCATCACTTGCATCCGACATTTATGTTAGGTCCTTATTTTCCTAGCCTCACCAATATTATGACCCATATGTTCTTCAAACAATGAAGTCTGAATTTCACCGATAGTGCACGATCTTTCAACACTGCGTCGGACAGGTGTTTGGGAGCCAGAAGCGCGTGTGCCACCCATGGTTTCTCACTCAGTATTAACCCAGCCAGCAGCCCTAGGGCATTCTGGGAATTTTTTCCAAGATGGCTGCCTCTCACTGGAGGTCCTAAGAGTCCATTTCATATACAACCAACTGCGCACACATTTAGATTGGGTACGAAAAAATAAAAAATAGTTTTCTCGGATGGCGCTGTTTCCCACTGACCGAGAATACTCGGTTGGCATAGTTCAGTGGTTAAGGCCCTTATTTTTACTGTATCTAAGTACAGTACCTAGAGTTTATCACTGTGCTTTTTCATTGTGCTTAAACTCTTTTTTTTATTTGATTAACTGTTATTCTTTGCATTCTGTTTGACAGAAAATTGAATATCCATCGTCCTACTTTACTGTAGGGGTACAGTGATTCCTACTGACCTCATTTTGTGGGCTATCACTCCCTGGTTGCATTTATCAAATGCCTTTGCAAAGTCTGTGTATTCCACATCTGCATTCTGCTTTTCCTCTAATGCCTCAGTGATTTTGTCATAGTGGTTGCGTAGCTGCGAGAAACATGATCTTCCCGCTCTAAATCCATGTTAGCCCGAGTTATGGAGGTCATTGGACTCCATAAAACTGGAGCTCTGACTCTTGATCACTCTCTCAAATATTTTTATTATGTGGGACATTAGTGCAACTGGTCTATAATTCTTAGTCAATGCTTTACTCCCCCCCCCCACCCCCTGCCCTCCCTTGCATAGAGGAGCTACATCTGCTGATTTACATGCTTCTTGTATATTCCCAGTGTCCAAGCTCTTCCTCCAACACTATACTAAGTGCCTGTGTAACTGACACTTGGCATTTCTTTATGAATATTGAATTCCATGAGTCTTGACCTGGGGCTGAGTGTATGGGCATGTTGTCAATTTCTCTTTCAAAATCTACAGTGTTTGTGTTATCAGTTATATTTTCAGGGATTTTGGATATCATGCATAAAGAAGCTGTTTGGATCTTCAATTTTCATGCTATTTATTGGGGTGTTAAGCATGTCTTAATACTGCTTTCATCACCCATCATCCAACAGTTGTGTTAGGTCCTTTTTCTGCATTTGGGTTGTCAATATCACTGCCACGGTCATCTTTAAACAATATGATCCGTATTTCATCATGTTGAGAGTGTTTTCTCAACAACGCTAGTATAAGCTAGTATAAAATAATTAAATTATTACTTACTCCAGGACCCCACCGTGGCCCTCTGGTCACCCAGCAGATTTCTGTTCGACACATTGGACATCGCATCCAGTCACAACCCCATTTTCTTACTAACATGACAGAGCACTTGGGGCATGGCAACCCATCTCCACGACGAATCATATCCTATGGGAAGAATTTTATTATCAGAATATAAATTAAACATTTAATTTATAGATAATCCAACAAGCATGAACCTGGAATCTGCCAATATTATGCATGGCGTGTATGTAAATATGAGCTATCAGGAGGCACTAGTGGAATATGCAAATATAAACACCTGAGAAACTGCAGAAATATCCTATATACTGGTACATGTCACTCTGAAAATTGCAAATTTTCTTTGTCCTTTGGTACTCTTGCTTTGCAATGAGACCACTGCTGCTTTGAACCTACAGTAGGTTTTGGTCTAGCTTACAAGGCTTCAAATAGGAGAAACTTCAAATGCTTGCATGGTGCTGAGGTCAAGCACCCTCACTTTACAACATCTAACAAACAAGTGACATTTTGCAGCCAAATTATGAGTAGTCTTACTGCTGTATGATGTCATAGGTCTCCCATTGGATACACAAGGTCAAATAACCTATAAAAGTTCATTGACAGATATGACATTAGAGCTCTACCCAGCATCATCTTCTTTGACCAAAATAATATATAAATACAGATACAAAATAACATAAACCTTATCACATGAATTTATGAATCCTAAAAAACCAATTGTTCCTTAGCAGTCCTTCATGCTGGTTGTGGACGAGTATGGCTCACAGAAGGCTTAATAGCGTTATGACGGACTTCAGTATTGTAACAGAATGTCTTCCCCCCCTCTAATGGCTCTGCAGACTGTAGTCTGCTGGTATACTTAAATGTTTAAAATTAGAGTACATATAATTATTGCACTGTACTTACATCAAAGAATTTTTTGGTCTTCATTGCAGCCTCATCCACTTTCTGTGCAAGATCATCTTGGTATTCTTGACATGTGATGCCTTCATGTTGTGCCTGCAGATATATGAACAATGTAAAAATATTGCATAAGCACAATTTGTTACTTATAAAACCACAATAATCTACAAGTAATGCACTGGTACATGAAATACTCTCTTCTATGTTAATACCTCAGTCATTCTCATAGCCATGAGGCTAATAATTTGGGTTGAATGCCATTTATCACAGGTTCTAATGATTTTACTCCCCACCATGATATGAGACTTTTAAAATGGCTTTGCTATTTAATTGTGACAGGGAGAGAGAATTGAAAAGCTATTGCCATTCACTAATGATCGACTGACTTGCTAAAATAAATGACACGTCACACACTTATGTGGAAACGAATTAAAGAACTCTAACAAAGAAAGAGATCTAGGGGAGGTTCTAGATAGTAGAATGTCACCAGACGACACATAAAGGACATTGTGAGAGGAGCATATGCTAAGCTTTCCAACTTCAGAAATGCTTTTAAATACATGGATGGTGAAATACTAGAGAAACTGTTCACGACTTTTATGAGACCACAGTTGGAATATGAAGTGCTTGTATGGTGCCTATATCTAAAGAAGTACATCAATAAACTGGAAAAGGTGCAAAAGCATGCTACAAAAATGGCTTCCAGAACTGAAAAACGAGCTATGAAGAGAGGCTAGTGACGTTAAATATGTCAAAGCTAGAAGATAGAAGAAAAAGAAACGATATGATCACTACATACAAAATATTAACAGGAATCAACAAAACTGACAGAGAGATTCATGAAACCTAGAACTTTATAAACAAGAGGTCATAGATTTAAGCTACAGAAACAAATTTGCCAAAAACCTCCCACATTTTGGACACGAAATAATGGGTATAAAATGGATAAGGGTAGATTTAGTAAAGACTTGAGGAAATACTGGTACGGTAACAGGTTCGTCGATATGTGGAACCAAATACCACATAACATGGTGGTGGGGTCCCACGAATGGTGCAAGCGTGGGTTGAACAAGTATATGAGTGGGAATGGGTGGTAAGAAATAGGAGCTGCCTCATATGGGCCAATAGGCCCTCTGCAGTTCCTCTGTTCTCATGTCCGTATATTCGTATGCACAAGGGGACACAGGAGGAAGCTGAGTACTCAAAGGAGCCACAGACTCGAAAAAAACCTGATCAATGTCAGAGGGAAAAAGAAGCGGAAAGCACTAGGAAGCTACGTGGTGGAGGCAGACTCCACCCACAGGAGCCAATGTAGAGAAGACAGAGCCCAGGAGGCTCAGAAAAATGCACAACCATCGACCGACAGGAGAGGCGGGGCCCAAGAGCCAGAGCTCAACCCAAGCAAACGCAACTAGGCAAGCACCCCACCAAAAGGCGAGAACCAGTAACTGGCCGACAGAGGCGCCAGACATGACAATCACACCTGTAGAGCAGACACACGACCGTGCCACAACACAGGCGAGCCAAGTAACATACCAGGAGCATCGCTAGTGGTGCGCTCGAACGCCATGCATACTCGAGGCAGTAGGCATCGTATGTACCGTTACCTGAATAAAAATTGGAAGTCTAAGGAAAAAGACATCCAGAGGTGTGCGCCCCACAAAAGACGAGGAGCAGTACAGAAGGGGAGGAGGAGGCGCCACGCTGAGCCATCCCACACCCAGAAGCAGAGGAAGAACGAAGTGATGCCCCCATATATAAAATCCAGAACACCCTCAGCATCCAGAGGGCTACGACTGGAGGGAGAAAACGAGCAAGAAGCCATAGAAAACCTCGAGAAACGTCGCGAACACACAGGCATACCGCCCACAAACAAAACGCACACCCCGGCCCCAGCGCGCGAGGTACGAAACGCACCACCTGGTGGAAGGATGGCATGGCTCGTACACCAGGTGGACACACATATCGTACACACACAATGTACAGATACATCGTAAACACACATCGTACAAACACCAGGAAGACGTGTGTAACGAAGACGAAGAACGTTGGAACTGGAAGTAGAGACGACGCGAAAACAAAACAAGGCGAAAATGAAGCGAAAGAAAACAGGACAGAAGGTAACCAATGAGGCCGACAAAAGACCAGAGGGAAACCACATCGGAAATCAACAGACGTTCCAATAATATTGGAAGGTACAAAGAGACGCGCAAACCAACGAGAACTATGACAAGCAAGCACATACGCACAGAGGCACATATGGACAAATATAAACCCCTGATCAAGGGACACACAGGGACCCCAATACGAAGGGAATAGCATCGCGACGTAAGAGTGAAAAGGGTAAGGAAAAGGGGTCGAAACACACCCCCACGCAGGGTGGCTGTTTTTCGTTTCGCATTTTGCACTTTTGTTTGTGGTGCTAGTTTCTAGTTGTTTGTGTTGGCACTGGAAGGTTCATTATAGGTCTCCCATCTGCGTGTTTCATCTCGGGGATGGTGTGTGGTTTTCCTGGCGGTCCTTCCGGTTTTCCTATCACTGCGAAGGCTCCTTCGGTCTCTGATAGGATTGGCTTGCCTTGCCTTAGGGGTTGTTCTGGGACCGTCGTCTAGGACCGTGTCCTGTCACCTCGTATTGGGTGGTGCTGGCGGAGCCGCTACTGCTTGTGTTCGGTGTTGAGGTTCCTTCTGCTCCATTCCGCTTGATGTCCTGGGCGTTGTTTCACCTCTGGCCTGCTCTGGAGTTCTGGTGCCGTCCTGGTCGTTGGCCTGGGTGGTCTAATTTCTTCTCGTTTTGGTCTTTGTTTTGTCTGTGGTCTTGGTTTTTAGGTTAGGACACGTGGCGTCCGCCTCCCGGTTCCTTCCCTGTTTTCCTTATCTGTGGTGAGGTAGCTCCGGAGAGCTGACAGGGCTCCCCCCAGAAAACCAGCGTTGAATGTAATGAAACGCCATTTTCTGGGTAAGTCCCGGAGGCTTTCCGGCATCCCTCCCTCCCTCCTGTCGGCGGGGTTTTTCGCGTATTTTGACATCCAGTCTAAGAACTGCCAGTTGGATCGCCGGCGTGGAGGGTTCGGGGCTCCCCCTTCCACCTCTCGGGGTGGGGGTGGTTGCGCAGACGGTGGCACGGCGACGTGATGACGTCATGCTAGTTTGATAATTTTGTTTGGGGAGTTCTGTCCACTCGTTCGGCTTTCGGTAGCAATATTTTCACCAGAATAGTGAACGTTTGTTTTGGGGCGCCTACCTTTCTGGGTGCCTATCCCGGTCGATGGCAGACATAAAATGCTCCCAACCACTAGGGGGTTTCTATAGGCCATTACTCCTCGTGCCGCTTTGAGGGGTCAGGTTCAGGTTCTGGCTCGTAGTCCCCGGTAGGCAAGAACTCCTAGCACTTTGATGCCAGAAAGTTATACATATCCATTCAGCCTGGATAGCTCCGGGAAGCCGACGGGGCTTCCCCAGAAAAGCACCTATGGGTAGCTCAGGAAGCCACTGAAGGGAGTCCTCCCAGTTTCAGAACCAAAAGAAAGGTAATAGAGTTCCATAATCTTATGTCTTAATTATTCATACCTGGCATGTAAGGCAGCTGACCTTCTTGCAGACATCACAATGAAATAAGTTGACATTATCCTCAAACTGACAGAAGCCAGGGCAGTCAGGAGTCTTACAGTGAAACACGTTTTGCATGGTTCCCTCTGCTTGCTTAACAGACTTGGTTAGATGCTTGTCATACTCCTGTGGTGTTACCAGCTGCAACCAACAAATGTCTTATTAAATTAAAACAATTCAGTGTAATATATATTATTATTATTATATAAATAAAATAATGAAACATAGCATAGTACAGTGTTTCTCATTAAAATGTACTTTATTAACAGAATCTTAAAACAACCTAAACTTACAGCTTTGATTTCTCTGTCCTGCAGAGAAGAGTCACAGGAGTACTGGTTGTCTCTGTATGGACACTTCACATCAGCAGTGTCAGAATATTTAATGGCATTGGCCAGGCACTCCCTGAGTAAAAAATAAAAGGAAACTCAGCTATAGCTGCATGATATTTAAACATCTTAAGTGTCAACTCAAAACATTACATAAAGTTACTTTTACAGATATTATAGACCTATATCGTAAAGTTCAATGAAAAATGGGCTTGTAAGAGGTATCCATTGTATAACCAAGCCCACGGGTTTTCCGGGGCCTGTAGGGGGTGAATGAACTCTACAGGAAGCCCAGGCACTGGGGCTAGCTACACCAGTAAACCCTCTCAGTGCAGGCAACCAGACCACAAGAAACAGCTGGAAAGCCCCAGAAAAGCAACATTATTTGGCAAGAGAGTTCCACAGCACACACCCTAGGCACCACTAATAAAGGACTCCCCAGCAGAAGCAAGTGAACAAAGCACCAGCAAACAAGAAGTGAAGCAGAAAAAAAACCTAAACTCAATGGCGGCAAGCAAGCTGCAGTGCGCCCCACCAGCCAAAAACCAGCGTTGAATGTAATGAAACACCATTTTCTGGGTGAGCCCCGGAGGCTCCCTGGAGCTTATTGGGCTAATGTATGTTATATTAGACCGGGACATTAGCTAAGGAGTGCAGACCTACCAGGGACCAGCGCCAGAACCTGGGCCCCTTCAGAGAGGTTTCAGGGAGCAATGGCCCTGGAAAACCCCTTTGTGGTTGGGGTTTTCCTTATCTGCCATCGACTGGGGTTAGGCACCCAGAAAGGTAGGCATAACAAAACAAACCCCACATGGTAAATAACTAAAACAAAAAACCGAACAGAGAGGTAGAAACTCCCTACAATCACAAGCAAACAAGCAAACATCACACTTTACTGCCGCGCCGATTGTCCGCGCAGCCCTCCCCGCCCCGAGAGGGGGAGGGGGGAGCCCCGGACCTACTGCGCCGGCTGCCAAGCTTCAGTTCGGAAACTAAGCTTCAACCAACGGGGGAAAAAAACGCCGACCGGTGAGAGGGAGGGTTGCCAGGGAGCCTCCGGGGCTCACCCAGAAAATGGCGTTTCATTACAAACAAAGCTGGTTTTTTGTGGGGAGCCCTTACGGCTCCCTGGAGCTTCATACCCAAAGAGAAGGAAAAGAAAAAGGGCCAACCCGGGAAGCGGCCGCCACAAACTCTGCAACGCAAAGCCGAGACAACAGGTCGCAATCTGCGACCCGAGGCAACACGAACGCACAGGAGCAGACACGCATAAGAATAGGCGGCCAAGAACCTGTGCGACCCTCAAATCCCTGCGCCAGAAATGAGCCCTAGACGTCGCCAACACAGCAGCAAAAGCTGCAAACGTCTGAACAGCACGGGCGCAAAGACAGACCGCAGGCTGGAAGAATGAAAAACTCTGTGGACGACTTGGGAGACTCGAGCCCTGATAACAGGGAACGAGGGGAACCAGATCAACCACAGCGCATCCGCAGACACGGTACGCAGGTAACGGCAAAAAACACAACCGGACAACACAGGACACACCCCTGGCCAAACCAATCAAGCATCAATAACCCAAGAACCCCTCCGGAAAGCAGCCGCCTCGACCGTCGTCAGGACGGAGAAAGGCTGCACACGTACAAATCTACCACTAGTACTAAAGAGCAGAAACCTGAACCGAAGGGGCTACCACAAACTGAGAAGATAAGAAGGCACCCTGATCAAGTACCAGGACAGCTCAGGCGACGCATGAGCAGGCCGGAGGTGACACAAAACACGAGAAAGCGTACGAAACGTCATACTGTCGCCAAGACGAAGCTCGCAGGTGGGACACCGTCAACAAAGCCACCTGAACACCACAGAGATAGTGATACCCGCGTCAAAATACCAGACGCGAAGAGCCGAGGAGAAGGCCGAACCAGTCACGTACAGAACCGATTCGACCTGCCGAAAGAGGCGGAGCCGTGGGAAAATGCCCCGGGTTCGAACACCTATCAAGCAGCGTCTGAAATAAGGCTGGGCCGGCCACCAAGGAACCATAAGGACTGCTCTCGTGGGAATGGGCTGCAACCGAGCCAGAACCTGAAGCAACAGTTGGACCGGGAGAAGAGGAACAGGTACCCCCACCTCGACCAGTCCTGCTGAAAATCATCCACTATGAATGCCTCGCAGGTGGGAAAGGGCGCCACATAAAATAGGCGACGCCTAGACCACGCTGACTCGAAGACGTCCACGGCTAGGAGTCCATACGTCCGACAGAGCCAACAAAACGAGTCGGCGATGACTGGCCAATCCGCGAAGAGAGGAATGAACCGGGACAGCTGTCCGCCAGGACGCAGGACACACCTCGGACATGAACCTCACGGTTAGCCAAACCCCTGTGGTTCCGGCAGAACCGCCAGAGAACGGTCCGAACAGAGCTGAATGGTAGAGCACCCAGTGACCCAAGCCCTCCGAAGCGTAAACCAGACAGCCACGAACTCCTGAGCCATGCTGTGAGCCCGACGGACGTACAGACTCCACCAACCTTGGCCGACCTGGCGAGCACTGGTCACAAATCCCCAGCCGAGAGATGACCCGTCCGTGAACACATCGAGCGAAGGCTCAGGGAGGTGCCAAGGCACGGAACCCTGAAAACCCCAAAGAGGAAGCTGGTGACGCAGCACCAACACAAGATCCCCGGAGGAACGAACCCAACGAATGCAAGCAGCGGAAGGGAAGTCTCCGAAGGAACCAAACAGACGCCGAAGCCAAACCCGACTCAGCGGGCAGACCAGCACGTCGAAGTTCAGACTCCCGCACAACTGCTCAAGCAACTGCTGAGCAACCCGGGACCCCCTCATGTACAGCCGAAGGCAGGACCACAGCCGCAGTAACACTTCTGGAGGGAAAGACAATGAGTGGCCCAATAGCCCTAAACAAGGCCCAGGTCCGAACCCGGGATGGAAACAGATGGAATGGCCTCCAGATCACCAGGAAACCAAACCCGGCGATCTGGAAAGAACCACACCCCTGGCGAGCAGACAAGCGGACTGACTGGGAGCTCACACCAGCCAGTCGTCAAGGTAGGCCAGACACCGAATCTCAGACTCAGACAGAGCACTAAGATCCGGTAAAGATGCAAAAAAAAAACAAAAAAAAAAAATACCAAGTGCCCATTACAAAATAGGGAAGGCAACAAAAGCAGCAAGCCTGGAGCCCCACCACCAACTGAGCCATTCCCAGAAAACTGGAGAGGAACGTGCCAAGAAGTGACTTGGAGGTCCAGGGCCACCATCCAGGCACCCGGCCCCAACAGAAGCCGGACAGGAGACAACAGTCCACCGAGGAGGGCATAGAAACCAGGGCGCAGACTGAAGAAGTCCAGAAGAACTGCAGTTACGAAAGGCCCATGACTGCAAGGAGTAGACGGGAACCCCAGAAGGATGGGGCGGATCGACCACGTCCAACGCACCCACTAAGAAGACATGACGAAGCACAGGGGAAGAAACCCACCCCACCAGCTCTGAATCCCCCAAAGGGAGAGAATCCGTCTACCGACGCCACCAAAGGCCGAAAGACAACCAAAAGCGCCCACCAACAGCGGGACCATGCGAGAGTCAACAGAGCAAGCTGCTCCCCCAGCGCCCCATCAACAGAGAAGGGAACAGAACCCCTTCTGAAAGAAAAAGTACACACACATATACACATTATGTATATATACATATACACAAACACACAAGAAATGGTACACACACGTGCGTATACACATGTGCACACACACACACACACACAGCGTACATAAGTACATGCGTACACACACACATACCTCACACATAATATCTAGAGATATTAGAAAGAACTTTTTTAGTGTCAGAGTGGTTGACAAATGGAAAGCATTAGGAAGAGATGTGGTGGAGGCTGACTCCATGCACAGTTCAAGTGTAGATATGATAGAGCCCAATAGGCTCAGGAAACTGTACACCTGTTGATTGACGGTTGAGAGGCGGGACCAAAGAGCCAGAGCTCAACCCACGAAAACAACTAGGTGAATACATACATTGCAAAAGAAAAGTACCAGTCGCCGACCAGTGGGCAGAGAGCACCACGCCGGCCAGGCAGAGAGCACCACGCCGGCCAGGCAGAGAGCACCACGCCGGCCAGGCAAAGAAGGCACAAAACTGCATCAAAAGGCCCACCTCGACAGCAAAACCTCAAAATCCCAGCACGACCACAACATGTGCCAAGACCCAAAAAGATCAGTCTGCAATCCAGGAAGACCCCGGAACCCCAGTAGGCAGAACCGGGTCACACGAGGAAACAAAGCCCCCTGAACCCACAAAGGGGACCCCAAGAGGAGGAAACCTCCGGAACGAAACCAAAGAACCCAAAGGAACCCAGAATCGAACCAGGGGGAGCCTAAACCACCACATTTGCCGGCGGAGAACACCACAGAGGCAAAGCACAGCCCCCAGACAGAACCCCCTGGGAAAACGGTCATAACAGACCGAAAACCGAGGGACAAGGTGTGGGAGCAAGCATACCAGCCAGGGGACACTGAGTCCAAACCCATAGGTCCAAACCCAAAACAGACAAAATGGAAAACCCGGTGTAAAATCAACACCCAAACGTTCCCAGAGGAACAGGCAACAGGCAGAAAACACCAGAAAAGCAAAGAAACGACAACAGGAGAATAATAAACCCTGAAAAAAGGTGAAAACTCACTCCAGAAGCTCGCTCGCACACCAAGTCACATGTAAACAAACCGCAACGCCGCCCTGGTGGCCACTCCAGGAAACCGGCAGACGAAAATGGCCGCCAGCAGGGGCTGTGGCTGACGCTAAAGATACAAAAACACGCCAGCAAAAGTGGGAAGCATGCAGACTGGATGGGCGAAAAACGCCGCCCAACAGCAGAAAACCCAGGCAGGGGCAAACCGCCCCAGAACTACTAGCAGGCATCCCCACAGCCCCGGGAACCAACAACAGAGGCCCCGGGGCAGAGCCGTCCTCCAAGTCCTCCGCCCTTAAAGAAAAGCAAGAGTCCATGGGAAAGGCAGCAAGAAAGGGCCGCTGGTAAGCCCCAGAAGCCTTGGCA